AATACTACGCGGGGAAGATATTTTCGTTTGGATTACTGGTCTGGGGGAAACTCGTGTGTGTGTATACGTGTGTGTTTGTGTATTTTGTGTACACCGGCTGTTGTTATGCCTGCTGTGACGTTAAGTTACTCCGTTCTCCGCTTGTAATTATGCCGTTACAAGCTTCAAAGTTGTATTTATCATCTGAATTTGCCGAAACAAGTTTAATATTCTGAAAGCCAAGAATTTGTTTAATTGAAATCAGATTAAAAAAAACTGTAACGGACCCTGCCGTGTTATCTATGATTACTATACGCCTTACATTCATAATTTTAGTGGGAGGGAGGGGGAGCGGCTCTGTGGAAGAGCAAGGTGGCGAGTGAGCTGTCATCTTCCCTTTACAAGCTTCAAAAATGCCTGTAGCTAGTGAGATTGAATATAACAATACAAAATAAACACAGCTAGATCAGATCGCGTTTTAGATGTGACTTTAGAGTAGAGGGGAATTATTGAAACGGGATTTGTACACGGCATCCGCCGCTGCGAAAATGTGGGGCAGGGCTGAAAAGTGGGGGGGCCAATGGCCCCCGGGGCCCCCCCGCATCCAGCGCCCTTGACACTGACAGTGTATTAATGTGAGCTCCTACCAGTAGCGTAGGCAGAAATGTACTTTAGGGTGGGCCTGTAAAAAATAGGGTGGGCCAGATTTTTCTTCTGCGCATCAGAAGCTAACAACAATCCCCGCCGGTACCGGTGGCAGATTACTTTTAGAATACTTTTGGAATACTTTCTTTTTCCATAACAGATGGGTATGTTTTGGTGAACAGGAGACACGTATTTTACTGTTTTAATGGCTTATCAAGAGCACAAACACAACATCTTGGTGTCATTCTGGACAGCTCTCTCATCTGCACCACCAAAAAAAACATCACCCGGACTGCATTCTTTGTACTGTCTTAAAACCTTTCCTTAGAATATGTTATGAATTGTAAGGTACTTTGAAAGGCGCCCCTAAATAGAATTAATTATCATTATTATGTATTATTATTAGTGGTGCACGATAATTATCGCCCCGATAATTATCGGTCCGATATTAGGAATGATGACGTCATCCCGATAAACCCGATAAAAGTATTAATAGCCCCGATAATATAAAAAATACTGCGGTCTGGGTGGATTGGGGTGAGGGGCGCTTGTTTTTCACTCGGCTCCTCCCGTTTTGCCAGTACTGTGGTATTAGTGGTTTAGGAAGAGGGGAGTTCTTCACAAATCCATCATGCCTGGCTGTGACGTAAATGGTGTGCGGCCGTGAAGCCAGGACAGTAAACAAACATGTCGTCGGTAGTATGGTACTATTTCAAAGTTTCAGAGTTAGATAGTTCGCTTGCTATTTGTATTAACAAATGCAATGCAGAAGTTCCACGAGGAGGGAAAAAGGCAACAAGCTATAATACTTCCAACCTGATTAGTCACCTGAAACATCGCCATCGCTACGATGGTGTGTTAAAAGCGTACGAAGACGCCTGCGCTGCTAAACTAGCGGCGAATCCAAAGCCAGCTGCAAAGGCACCGGGGCTTTTACCTATCGACGAGGCTTTTGAAAAAGGCAAGAACTTTATTTAGGAAAATAAATATGGTCACTTTGAAGAGTCAAAACTGTTCTTGGCTTTGTTTTGTTCATAGTAGTAATGCTCATGTCATTTGCTCACTACTAGTCTCTTTTTTACCACCAGGTGTGCAAAAACTACAGGTACATTTAATATATATATATATATTATATTATTATCGGTTATCGGTATCGGTCTTGAGAAGCAGGAAGTTATCGGTATCGGTTTCAAAAAACCAATATCGTGCATCCCTAATTATTATTATTATCTGAAACGATGTAATAACTTTTAAAACTTTTTCCAGTCACTTGCCCCATGCATTCAGCAGCAGCAGGCCATTCACTTTGATTTTATCCCGTTATAAATGTCATCATTTCGACAATAAAGAAATGCTACATAAACGTTATCTTGCACATTTTATCTAACCATCTCCGTTTCTAACTTTCAATATATTTTTAAAGAGATCTCTCTCTCTCTCTCATCTGCGTGCGGGGGCGGGGCCTCACAGACACGCTGCATCTCTCTCTCTCGCTGCAGCTCCGTGCAGTGTGCACACACAGTTCTGCCGGTAATGAATATTACATTTTGTGAGGAAACTTTTCCACCAATAATTCCAATAAGTATTCCAAAATGTATTCACTTCAGGTTTACGAAAGTAACTGTAATCAGATTACTCGTTTTTCAAATGTAACGCCAGCTGAATACACTTGATTTTTGTATTCTGATTTGTAACGCCGTTACATGTATTCCATTACAACCCAACCCTGTGTATATCTCTCCGGACTGTCCACCAGCAGATGAAAAACACCCACCTCTCCGCCTCTTCCAAGGGACGAGGGAACCGTGCGGCAGAGAGTTTCCGTTAACATTTGTTTTCTTCTGACAGCCCAACAGCAGGAGAGGTGGGGAGAGGGAGACGTGGGGAGAGGGAGGCGGGGCTATTTTATCATTATCAGAAAATGATAATGATGATGCTGCTAGATGAGGGCAGTGGGGGCTCTTCTTGGAGTATGGCTTTTTTTTTAAAAACCAAAGTTCATTAGTGAACTTTGAGCTATCATTTATTTTGCAGGCAGCTCTCTGCCTTTCTCACGTTATTATGGCGTGCGCCGGAACCTATGGCCGGAACCAACAATCGGTTACCGTAAATGAGTTCGGTTCAGAGGACAAAACACATACAACATTAATTCAATTCGATATTTGTTCACTTGAATTTCACTTTGAATTCTTGGATATTCTCAATGGGTGAATACGTTTTTTTATAATAATAATAATCAAATAATTAATACAAATAAAAATAAAAGTTTTTTTTTTAAATGACACTGAAGCTTTCTCAGGGTGGGCCTGGGCTACGCCACTGGCTCCTACACCTATAATAATTTGGCATTTCATTAAATGCTTTATAAACCAAACAGTTAAACTTACAGATGTCATTGTGAATTGGAAAACTGCATTTAAATGTTGTTAAAGGTCAACGTTTCAATGTATGGTTCAGCAATTGTTGGTCGTTTACTAGGAATTGACATATTTTAAGCTCAAATACTTTGTTCTATGTTTAAACCTTCAGACACATTTTGACGTGTTTCAGTTCAGCACATCACTTATTTTGTGATGATTACAATCCAGAATAATATACGTACTCGCCTTTATCTTTTTGCCATCTTAGCCTTTTTACCAATTCCTTCATATCACAGTTTTGCATGATGTCACTGTAGGACAATGTTTGAAGGATCTCTTGTCGAGCTAGGTTGTCAGTTTGAAATGTCTGGATGAAGATGTAACTGATTTACAAATGTTAAAAAATGTTTTTCAAAATGCCTCTTTTCATCCTCTGTCTGAGGGAAAACCCCAAAAAGCATGACAGGGCGAGCCAGGCCCCTTTAAGTTATTTTATTTATTTTGGTCTGCTTCTGAGAAGCTAATGTATAAGTTATACAGTTATTTCTGCAAGAAAATTACAATAAAATGACTTTTTAATCTTCACATCTTGTATTCATGTCTATAATTTTGAGCTCCAAATGATTGAAAAGTATCGATAAGAGTATCGAAAAATACCGATACCGATAAGCAGTACCGGTATCGGTATCGATAAAATCCTAACGATACCCATCCCTAGTCATAACAAACTGTCAAGCTGTCAAAACTCTGGACTCAAACCGGAAGTACTCGTCCTCACACCCACCCGCCGGAAGTTGATAGATGCCATCTTGTGCACAGAGCCTATTGGATGTTCTGTCTACACCTGTTGATGTGAGGCTAATGCAGGATTTGCTAGCTTGATGCTACCGGCATTTAGCTGCAGTGACTCAACAAATTGCCTCTTAAAATGTATCGTCAGCAATGTATGACAAGCAGACTGCTTGTTTAATGTAAACTCACACCAATAGCTCAATATGATCATAACACGATTGCTTTCAAATCAGAGATCAGATGAGGTGGAGCTGCCTCCAGCAATAGAGGATGAGGCAGAGAGAAGCAGCAGTAGCACAGGGTTGCAGCTGGTATGTTATGCTGTAGTCAGGTGATTTAAATGTATCAATGAAAGGAAGAAGTGTAGGCTACATGATAAGAAGGGAATACAGTTTGAATAAAAGTAATACTTACTTTTTAATGTACAAATACTTTGTTATTGTACGATAACAATAACAATAATCCACAGCTCCTCTCTCTGCTCCAGAGGATAACAAAAAAAAATTCAACGTTTTTTTTCCGGGCAACCCCCTGTTGGGGGGGCACCCGAGCAGCACCCTGCCAAGGCAGTAAACCTAGGGGAAACACTGCTTTAAGTACTTTTTTTAAACACTATGATTGTATATTTTTGATCGCAAGACTTCTGCTGTTATTTAAGTAAGATTCAATTTCAACGCTGCACTGTTACAGTGTTAAACAATTCAGTATTGCTACTTGAGTACTTCCACCACTGCTAATATCAGTGATAGAGCTACAGAGCTGTGCAACAAGTCCACATAAACAGTGCGTGTATGTGTTGGCTAGGTGTCATCTGAATGGGTTCAATCCTAAAGAATAAAGTTGTACTGTGGTCAGGGGGCTGCTCTCCTACTCTCACTCATAGAAATATGACTGACACATCTCTATGATATAACTACCACATATATTGGGAGTTTTAGTGTGACCAGCACACTCGGTGTATTTTGTATGCCACGTGAGGCTCCTCTAACAAGGTTTCCAGAACAAATGTGTAGCTTGAATAATTCTAAAGAGCTTCTGCAACCCCTTCTCTTCACAAGGGGACAGCTGTATGACGTCAGCGTTGATAGCGTGTTTATATATCATGCAGGCGCTCGTTAGCGACATGTACTGCGGGTCGTTAACCCTGCGCTTTTAACTACATTTGGTGTTATTGTTAGGAAGTGAAGATGGAAACACAGAAATGGCAAAACTGTGAAAACTAACCTGAAGGTGAGGATGCACAGCGGTCTGTAGGACTTGTGGCTCGTGTTGTCCGCCATCCTCTTGCCCCAGAAGTCGTTGCTGAAGACGTTCTTGAGGCTGGAGCCGGGTCGGACGTCCGGGTTGTTGATGATAGCCCACACATCGTCGTGCACCAACTCTCCGTGGAGAGAGCTGCTGTAGCAGACCGCGCACACGGCGGCGAGCAGGGCGTATCGACCCACAGCCAACACCACCTCGGGGCGGACGGTTAGCCGTGGCGGCGGGGGGGACTTCTTCTCCCGTCCCGGTGCTGTCATGTCAGGCCTGGCTTGCCCCGCTGCAGCGCTGTGCTGAGGGTGGATCCAGGGGCCCCGGAGAACACGTCCATCCCGCCGACAGAGAGCGGTTGTGTGTGGACCAGAGCGCGAGGAGGTTGTGGTTGAGCTCTGCTGCCTTCAGGTGAAGTCGGGGAATGCCAGAATCTTGGTTTCTCTATGCCCTCCTGTCTATTCGGTTATTTTATTTCGTTGTGGCTATTATTTAACTTGAATTGGTTCATAAACACATTCGTCTATACACATAGATATATATATAATATTTCTTCTTAAACATTTTCTATAATTAATTGTCTTAAAAGATACTTTTGAAATCATTTGTTATATTTAAACAGTCGTTTGAGAGAAAGTTCTGGAATGTACGGTAACAGACAAAACCTCAAAATGTGGCTGAAAAACATCAGATGAAAAAAGAGGGACAAGTTTGTAAATCCTCGTAGACTTGCATTTCTTTGTGCGGTTGTCAGATGACAGACGGTTAAAAGCCGTTTCTTATTAGTATTGACATATGAACATGCAAACATGTATCTTCTCATACAACAAGAATAAACAGGTGCAAAATAATTATTCTGGAGGAATGAGCCTAGATAGCACCATGCTGTCTGTATCAAAAGTCTGATAACATTTCTACACGAGGAGATGAACGGTAAACATTTAAATAGGCTACACTGAATGTAATATTATTGGGAAAGTATGATTTTTCTATGTATAGTATTCCTTTTCTTTTGTTATTGACAGGTTATTACGTCTAGAAATTTGACAAAATGCACGATTAAGTCGTTCTTTTATACGAGCTCATGTGCAGTACTAGAACGCAACATCAGTTCCAAGAACCCGCCTGTGGACGCATGCGCAGCAACACTTGCCAGGCAGACAGAAACAAATCAGTGCAGAAAACCAATAAAGTTCTGCGGCACACACTTTCTATATATATAGTGGAGGAAATAAGTATTTGATCCCTTGCAGATTTTTTAAGTTTGCCCACTTACAAATAAATTAACAGTCTATATTTTTAATGCTAGGTTTATTTTTAACAGTCGGAGTAAGAATATCGAAAAATAAATCCAGAAATTGACATTATATAAAAGATACAAATTGATTTGCATTTAATTGTGGGAAATAAGTACTTGGTGGAGAAACCCTTGTTGGACGTCAGACGTTTCTTGTAGTTGGTCACCAGATTTGTGCACATCTCAGGAAGGATTTTGGTCCACTCCTAAAGATCCTCTCCAAATTGACTCAAAACCTTAAGGATTGGCGGTTCTAGACCAATTTTACTAGGGGGGGCAGGCTGGGGCCAGTTATTTCATGAGAGGGGCACAATAAAAGCGGGTTAAAAAGACAAAGACAGTAAAGTAATTGTGTAAAATAAACATAAACTTTTATATAAGGTAATGAACAGTTTAATCTCCACTGTACATCCGGGTCTCTGATTTGATTTAGTTCCAATACATCGTAATATTGTAACCTTTTTTTGGAGGGGGCCACAGGGGGGTCCCTGGTCAGTGTTACGGGGGCACTGGCCCCTGTTGCTTTGCTGTTTTTAGTGAAGTCTGACATGACTTGAATTCTGACCGTTTTCGTCTGAAAAAGACCTCGGCTTTACCAACACTCTCGGGGTGTTTGGTACTCTGGAGTCGCTGACGACGCTGAAGTTGGCTTCCAATTCAGAGCATCCGATTCGGCAGTTAAGGGGAAAGTTAAGGGACATTTAATTTACAGCGCTGAGCAAACAATCCTCCGTGTTTGAACCTCTTAAATCGCTGCATAACCAATTTATTTGGACTGGATTATCCCAGAGAGGCTAAAGATTCTTTATAACACAGTTTCAGATTTGTGAAACCTTCATTCTATTTGTGAAAATACAAAAAGTGAGATATCAGTGCTTTTTTCACATGTAGACCACATTAGACCAGGTCCTGATCTGAAACCACTAGACCTACACTCATCAAATCGGGTAAGTATGGACAGCTAATTAAGGAAGAATAAAGTCTTTACTTCTCAAATGTATTATAATTTTTTGTTGCAAATAAAAATTCAACAGATAAGTAGGTATACTTATATAAACTTAATGTATTTACAGTTCAGCGCCTAATTACAGTATGTCATCTTGAGTACTAGGATTGCTTGGAATGTGAAAAACATTACAAGATTAGAAAATAACTAGGGCCGGGACTTTAACGCGTTAATTAAGATTAATTAATTACACAAAAATTAACGCGTTAAAAAAATTAACGCATTTAAATCGCACTTATTTTTGCACCGCGGAACGTTTCTCACTGGATGAGTTTCAGGCGTACCGATTATACTGGAGCACCAACTAACGTTCATGACTTCAGACAACAACAAACCACAGTGAACAACAGTGGGAAATGTTGTTTTAAAAAACGGACGGATGGAAGCGTCGATAAGAGCACGGTTGTGTGCAAATTATGCAAAAAGGAATTCGCATATCACCGCAGCACATCAAGCCTCAAGTATCACCTCAATGCAAAACATATAGCAGCTAGCGTGGACGCTTAGCCTCTTTTATCGCGTTCACACCAAAAAGAGCCGGTACTAAAATTAGTTCATGAGAACCTTTTTACCCCCACGAAAGTCCCTGCTAGAGAGCAGAGAGCTGCTAGAGAGCAGGGACTTTCGTACGGCTCTCTTGTGAGAAAAGAGCTATATGTCTGATTGGCTGGGCGGATTGCAAACCACGCCCCGTAAAACTCCCAAAAAGTTTTGTGAAGCCGCCATTGTATTATCCTTGCATTAGCATTATTAGCATTAGCCCAGCGCAGAAACGCAGAGAGACTAACTTATGGCAACACAAAATAAAACATGGGAGCGGTGGAGATGAGGAGGTGTCGGCGTTCTGGCGATTTACTCGGAAGGCTGCTGGGACTCCCAGCAGCTTCTACTGAAGCCAGTCCCCAACTCCGGGGACTTCCGGCCGGGGACTTTGGGCGGCAGTATACGCCGTGAAGTGGTTTGCGGCCTGCCAGTAAACCCAAAGCAGAAGAAGAAGAAGTGACGTCAGCGGCTTCATTTGCCTAATCCTCCCCCAGGTTCAAAGAGTTCTCATGAACTAAATTCTCATGAACCTTTGTGGGAAAAGTACTGCGGTGTGAATGCGCCTATAGGCAGAGACGTGCACACATAGACTCTAGGTAGTGCTTGAGCACCTGCCCGTTTTGCCCTTTTGACAACAATGTGCCCTTTTGAAAGTTCGTTTTTTACAGTTTTTTTGTATTTATTTTTTTACAGTGTACTGTATGTGGCTCATGGTAACATCGATCAATTCTGGATTAAAAGCTTCTAATATATACAACAATGCCCCAAATGCGCGTTGTAATTTTGTCAGACATCCCCACACGTGCCCCGCGGCACTCCCGTACGTGCGTGCTCTGGCTGCAGCCCCTCCCTTCCCTGCTCTCAAAGTGAACGCGCAGCGCGCAGAGCTGACAGTCAGTCAGTCAGACAGGCCACGGCGGGTGTGTGGTGCAGCAGCACGCAGCAACACGATTAAAAGTGCCCTAGTGACGACCAAGTAAGTAACCACCAGGTAACAAATACAATGAGTGTATTGTTTAATCCCCTAAATCAGATGCCAAACTAAACTATACAGGGTTCGTACGGTCATTGAAAACCTGGAAAAGTCATTGAAATTCAAAATGCAAATTCCAGGCCCTGGAAAAGTTATGGAAAACAATATTTTTCCCAAAGTTTTGGAAAAGTCATGGAAATGTAACTAAAGTTGCGTCAAATATAATTTACATTTTATCTAATCGCCGAAATAATCTGCGGTCGCGAGCTGTTATGTGCCATCATGATGCGCATGGTGTTATTTTTTAATATATGAAGCGCGAACTGTGTGCTCGAGTCTTCTTGCCTGTCGGGCCGGCTGAACTCTGCTGCTCCGGGATGAGGGTCAGCTACATTATCTACGGTGTGTTCGTTAACTGTGCGGAGTCACTGTGGCACAGACTGAGCCGCTGGTGAACAGCTGTTAGAACGGTTCGTTCAGGTGTTCAGAGCAGAGCGGCAGAGCGTGATGTGAACTGAAAAGTTGTTCTGTCGCAATATCATTGTCACTATCTGCTAACGTTAGCTTTAGCCTTCATTTTCTAATAGTTTTTTTCATAGGCTATAAACAGAGGTGGTATAAGTATAGAGATTGTAGGCTACTAGAGTAAAAGTAGAAGTATACTCAGATCTTGTACTTTAGTAGAAGTACTCAGATCTTGTACTTAATAAAAGTAGAAGTACTCAGATCTTGTACTTTAGTAGAAGTACTCAGATCTTGTACTTAATAAAAGTAGAAGTACTCAGATCTTGTACTTGAGTAAAAGTAGAAGTACCACAGTGTAGGAATACTCTGTTACAGTAAAAGTCCTGCATTCAAAATGTTCCTCAAGTGAAAGTAGAAAAGTATTATAAAAATACTAAGAGGCATGAAAATACATTTTCAAAATGCTCAACAGTGCTGCCAGAAATATAAACTGACTGCTACACAATTAAAATAAATGCTTTTATATATTTCTATTAGATGTAACTCTTTGGCGTTTCTGTTATTATTACCTGCTGCTTTAGTTGTTCTGACTGCTAAAATCCTCTGTTATTCCTCATTTTAAAGCCGATATTCTGTGGGGTCGGGGGGCTCGGATCCTTGTCACCTTTTTCATACCTGATGAGTTTGCATCCCTGACTACAGTTGCTTTAGCGTGTAGAAGCTAGTAAGCCTACTATTTGATTTGTTTTAGATAGGCATCTGCATCAGAAAGCATATGGTTATTGAAATAAATATATATGCAATTACGACATACAAGATGTGCCTTTAATAAATCTCACACTACTAAAGGCAGCCGGCGGTTCCACCAGAGGCGTCAATCCCGGGGGGGGGGGGGGGATTTCGTCGTCCCCTTAGCTTCAGATTGGACCCCCCTAAGTCATTTAGAATAATACAAATAAATGTTAAAATAATTAATTTTTTGATAATAAATCAGTAAAATCAGGCAAAAATAAGAATTAAATAACATAACCCTAACCTAACCCTAAAACCGAAATAAAGTAACCAAAAACCGAAAAGAAACTAACAAAATCCGCCATT